GAGATTACTACACCTAGTATTTTTAACAAAACTTAAATAAACATTAAAAATGATACTACGCACTTTATAGGGGTTCAGAATCTGTTAGATTACACACCCACAAGAAAACAATATATACAAGCAGACAACAGAAATATAATTGAAAAAAAGATATCATCCAAGAAACTCTGGATACAAATTCCAATGAAAAGGTACATGAATTCTGTTTTTTTTTCAAAGGTCTGAGATGCTATTAACTCACCTAGCTAATAACGATAAGTCTGTGGGATGGCCTCCTTAAAACTGTATCTTTTACTAGAGTTGTCAAATCATAAACCTTATGAGGTGACTAGAAGAATTTTACCTCACTGAAGTAAAATATCTTTAAGGCCATCATTTTCAAGGCCATTTTTGGTAATGCCTTTTAACCCAAGACACTGACAGTAAGTGGCTGGCATAACTTTGTTCTAAAATCTAACAAACATTTGCAAATTTGAATAACTTAGACAAATACACCCCAGGTGTTCCTTTGCATTGCAAACAACTATTTACTAGAATTGCAAAATACTGACAAAAAATTCAAGTTGCCAAGAAAACTGTGACAGTCATTTTTGAAATACTACTTTAAAATCTATCATTCCAAAGGAATCTTCTCACATGCAAGATTTCAAGTGAAAATTTGGTTTGTCTAAAGTTGAAGGATGATTTTTAATACTCTATTTATATGCAAAATAATGCAAGTGTGCCTTTAAAAAGACAGGTAACTCTTAGCAATGTGTGTTAATAAATAAACACAAAGAAATAAATAATACTATACTAAATTGCTTTTCTTCCTTCAGCAGAGTATGGGAGAAATCATCTATGCTCTAACTCTAAAAAAAAAAAAGAGCAATAGAGAAAAACATGTACAGAAAAAGAAGAGAAATCAGGGTTAGGAGACAGGTGGGCCAGAAAGCTCAGGTAAAATGTGCTGTAGGAAAAGTACCTGGTGGCCCCCAAGAAAAGCCAGAAGCCACATGCAGAAGCCCAGCATACCCAACGTCCTGCTGCCCCATCTACGATTCAGGTTATTCCAAGCAGTTTAGTCTAGCTACCCAGGTCCAGAACAGTGTTTTGTAAGTACTGGGTACTCAATTTTTTAACAAAATTGAAAATAATTCATACTGGAATTGGAAGAAAGCATGAGAGAACTGCCTGTATCCTGAATTTACTTGTTTGTGTTTTATATTTCTTTGAATACTCTAACTGTAGGCATTCAATACATATCTATTGAATGAATAAACAATCTTGCAGTTAATCAGGAAATAATCAAATTAGAACTTACAATCAAATGTAGAACTTACCGAAACTTAATAGGCTAAAAGTGTTCTTAGGAATGCTAGAACAATGCCTCATATGGCCTATGATGAAACTGGATCCCAATGCGATTAAGTAACTTGCCTAAGGTTATATATAAAATTATTGATACAGGAGGAAAAGAACTAGACAATGGCCTCAAAATTCTGTATTCTTTATGTTATATTATTTTCTCATTTAAAGACGTCACTTGTGTATTATCATTACCATCATTTTCATCACCAGCTACTATTTCTGTTCAGAACTATCTTTAATCTTCACAAAAATTCTGTAAGAGATAGGTGGTCAGTGAGGTGAATGAGTCAGGATTTAAAGATAGATCCCATCTGACTCAAAGCTCATGAACTTTTCCACTGCACTCCAATACTTTCTCCAAAATGATAGTTTTTAAAATTTAGATATATCTGAATTTCAACTTATAAACTAGAAGACTGTACATGAAATTAAAGAATTTTAACAGTTAAAAATCTTATTTGCCTAATTTTCATTGATTCTTTCTAGTGTCAGCTATGTCTATTGAATTAAATGAGATACTGGCTACAAACCCACTTTGTAAATTCTGAAGTATAGAAATTCAGACAAAACTTAAAATCACTAGACACATACCTACAAATGCAAAAGAGTATATGTTTGTCATGGGAAAAACTGGGTTAGACTATCTCCCAAGGGTGGCATCTAATACTTGGTAAATACATTATGGTTTTGGCCTTGTGGACACAGAAACTAGATTTTATCACCACACTTAAAGATCTAAAGGTTAGACTCACATTAATACAGCTTACAAATAATGATATATAAAATCAAAATGCCAATTTATTAATTATAAGAAAAAATTACAATGGGAACCAGAATACTCTAAATCTAAAGGGTACTTGGACTAAGGTACCAGTGCATTCTCTCCCTACAGACAGAACCACATGGGAAGCCAAATAACAGTAAGAAGGCTGCTTGCTGATCATGAAATCAGAACAAAGGGAATGAGATTGATTGTTTAATGCCCACAGATTAAAAAAGAGTAGTGTATTCATCTCACAATAAAAATGCTCTTTTAAATGGGACCAGAATACTTAAATTCTGCTGATGAAAACTCGCTCACCCTTTGTTGTAAACACTGCCTCTAACTCTTCTCAGGTAATTCCTTGGCCGACTTTATGATGAACACATTATTCCTTTAGATAAATTCATGTATTTCTACCATGTAACAGGTAAATTCCTTCTGGTTTGGAAAACATTTTGTTTTTTAAGGTTACATTTTGTTTTTAAGGTGACTTTATATTAATCTATATGGTTGCTATCAGTCAGAATCAACTTGACAGCAATGGGTTTGTTATGGGTTTGGTTATATTAACTGCTCTCAACCAGAAAGCCATAACCCAGGAATCAGTCTTAGTTCCAAGTTCTTGGAGATACCCAAAGTACTAATATACTATACTATAGTAAATGTAATCTTTGCCACAACCCTACAAGGTATGGATTTACCCCATTTTATAGGGGAAGACACTAAAATTCTCAAAGAGAAAGTCAACTGCCCAAGGTCACACAGCTAGAAAGGGGAAAAATTGGAATCTGAATCTGGTTTGCCAAACTCCAAAGCGGACATTCTTACTCACTGTAATAGTCTATAAAATACTCTTATCATTGCTATCCTATTTCTCTGCCATTCATCTGTCAGTTTGTTGACTATGGTCGGTTGTGCATTGCTATAAAGCTAGAAGCTATACCACTGGTATTTCAAATACTAGCAGGGTCATCCATGGTGGACAGGTTTCAGAGGGGCTTACAGACTAAGACAGGCTAGGAAGAAAGGCCTGGCGATCTACTTCTGAAAATTAGAAAACCTTATGGATCACATCAGAACTCTGACTCAATTAATTATTGAATCAATCACTGGAGGAGGACACTGTTGTTGTTGTGTGCCAGTTAAGTCAATTCCGACTCACAGTGACCCTATATGACAGAGTAGAACTGCTCCATAGAGTTTTCAAGGCTGTAATCTTTATGGAAGCAGACTGCCACATCTTTCTCCCATGGAGCAGCTGGAAGGTTCAAACTGCCAACCTTTCAGTTAGCAGCCAAGTGCTTAACCATTGTGCTACCAGGGCTCCTTTGGAGGAAGATGTCATGTTTAAAGAATTAGAGGGCCAGTGAGGGCAAGGGAGACCTTTGGTGAGATAGACTAGTACAACAGCCACAATAATGGACTTGAGCATGCCAGTGATTATGAGGATAACACTAAGACAGGGCAACATTTCATTCTGTTGTACGTAAGATTGCCCTGAGTAGAAGTCAACTTAACGGCAGCTACCTATCTATCCATCTACCTATCCTATTTCTGGTTACTGGGTTTCTTATATATATTGCATTTGAGGGGGAAAAAATCCTAAAAGTTCCTGAAAAAAACTTTGTATACAAAAGACATTTCTGGAATATTCAAATTATTACATTATTTTAAAGAACAACATAAATGCAGATCATGCTGCTGATATTTATTCATTTAACAAATAAATCTGTTTTGGAAGAAGTACAACCAGAATGCTCCTTAGAAGCAAGGATGACAAGACTACATCTCCCATACTTTGGACATGTTTTCAGGAAGGATCAGTCCCTGGAGAGGGACACTGTGCTTGGTGAAGTGGAGGGTGGGTGAGGAAGAAGAAGGCTCTCAACAAGATGGCCTGACATAGTGGCTGTGACAATGGGCTCAAACATAACAACAACTGTGTGGATGGTGCAGGACCAGGCAGTGTCTCATTCTGTCGTACACAGGGTCGCTATGAATCGGAACCAACTTGACAGCACCTAACAATAAAAACATGTGCCAGCGCTGTTCTAGAAGCTGGAGATACGTCAGTTATGAAAGCAATATATCTGCTCTCTTGGTGCTTACATTTTGTGGACGAGTGAGGGTGAGAAAGGGAGAGACAAAAATAAACACATAAATATATCAGATGGAGTTAGTAGCTTTAAAGAAAAGTACAGCAAGTAAGGATGATAGAGAGTGGGGGCAGAGGGAGAGGGAAGATGCTATTTTATCAAATGAAGACAAGGAAGGCTTCTCTGATAAGGTAAAATTTGAAGGCAGTGAGGAAGCAAGCTATGGCAATATCTGAGGGAAGACCACACCAGGCACACAAGTGCAAAGCCCCTAAGGTAAAAGTGAGATTGCTCAAAGAAAGAGTAAGCAGGCCCGTGAGGCAAGAACAAAGTGAACAGGAAGGGAAATGGACAGTGATGGCCTTAGAAAAGTTGTTGGGGCCGGACTGCACACAGCACTGAATGGTAAGAACTTTTATTTTAACTCTGACTAACATGAGAACTCTTTAGAAAGGTTTGAAAAGAAGAATGACATGATCTGACAATAATTTTAAAAGGATCACTTTTATTGCTCTATAGAGAAAAGCCTCGTGGAGGGAAAGTCAGAGAGTAGAAAAAGCAGTTAGGAAGCTATTGTAATAATTGAGCCTAGAGACATCATGGATTGGATTAGGGTGGTCACAAGTGGAGGTGGTAAGAATTTGTCAGATTCTGCATGTATCTGGAAGATACGATGAGAGGATAAAAAAGATTCCAATATACGGAACTATAACAATTTAACACAAAATTTCTTTGTCATTCTATAGCATCAAGTTTTCCAAAGAATGAAGTAGAAGCATAAGATGACTTACTTTACTGGTCAATATATTTACTTCTCGTTCAGCTTTATGCAATTTACTGATTAAAAGAGTATTTTGTTCATTGCTTGATTGTAGCTCTTTTTCCAAACGTTCAGACTGTAGTTTAGCTGACTGTTTTTCAGCCTTTCATTAAAAAATATATATTTTAAAATTTGTTCACAATTTTTCACAATTATATAAAATAAGCACTATTTAAAAATACATGTATAATTACACTACCAAAAATTATTCAAAACCTCAACAATATTAACGTGTACCAAAGTAACAAGAATTTTCTCAAACTACTTCGGTCAAATTCAAATAAAAGATATTTGCTCCATCAAATTAAAGAAATAATAATTTAGATACAAAAATAAGGTTTCATTATCAAACCACAATAGTACTGTATTTATCACAGAACTTACCTACCTCATAGTCTCCCTTGCCAGAAGATTTGAGAGAACCAGGAAATATGCAACAAAGATGTCTGGACAAATAACATTATCAACAGCCACCAACAAAATAAAAGTCATGTACTTCTCTCATGGGAGTATACCTGAAGTACTTGCTTGATACCTATTTACTCTTACTGTTGTCGTAATTCAAACACACATTTTTTTTGGGTTTCAAGTCTATAGTAGATATGAAAAAGCATATTAGAAGATGGAAGAGAGGATTCCTTGATAGCAGTAAGATGTGAGAACTGAAAGTCTAATAGTAAGGAAACTAAAAAAAAAAAAAAAAAAAAAACACACCCAGGAGATACAAGAATTCAAAAACTTCAGCTAATCTGGAGCCTTTTGAAACATGGGCAAAGAGCTCTTGGCCTCATGACATAATTAAGATTCTTAATGAAGCCTGTAAGTTGTCAAGAAAATTTCTGGTCGGTAATATTCATAATATTCTTTAATCAGGGAGGGAAAACTAAATGCTCTTTAAAAATATCTGTATTCAAAATATTTAAAATGAAAAAATATCTGGCATTTAAAGGATAAGTTTCAGTTTTTTAACATCTCATTTCCTATATATATTAAATATGATAACAAATATGAACAAATAATTTAGGGGAAAAAAAACTATTTTCCTCAAATATAAAATGACACTCTCTGGGCACAATGTTAGCCAACAAATTCAAAGAGAAAAATGTTTAATCTGATGTGCTGATTTTCATTTAATCTGATAAAAGATAAAATTAAATCTGCAACCATCCCACTTATTCTGTCACTGTATGAAATACATTAAGGATGGGAGGATGGTGACATAAACAATCTTACTGTAAACTGTTTCATGTCTAAAGTCCAATGATACAGCCAACTTTAGTTCAGGACACCAGCAAATACTGTTAGAAGCTTCATCTGAGAAATAAGAAGGTAGCTTATTATGATATATTCAAAATACATCAATATACTCTTTGTCCAGTCTGCTGGATGGAAAAAAAAAATGAACATTTTGGATTTGGATATTGGATTTTAATTACAAACAAGGTGCCCACTAATTCTCCTCCAACCCGAATCATTTCGCAACTATTCTGTCAGAACTGAAAAACACTTTGGACTGGTCAAAATATATCAAAATGATTTAACTGGTATATTTGCTACATGTTAGGCACTAAGAACTATGAGAAGTAAGCATATCTGATTAAGAGGAAAATCAAGAATTTTTATAAGGGAATAATATCCCTAGGAGGATAAGCCTGGCTTTGCCAACTCTTATCTTTCTCCAATGAACTCAGGGAAATAATTCAGTAAAGGCTTGTATGCATTAGTAGCCAAGATGACTTTTATTACTCTGGCAAGAAGCTGTCATAAGATATGTAAAGTATGGCATTTCTGTTCAAGCAGGATTTGTGATTTTAAGATCTCGAATCCTAGTGTAAGGAAACCACTATCTAGGAAAAAACTGTTCTCTCTCTGATTTGAGATGACTCCAGTCTTCAGCGACTCAGACATATTTTTTTGGATTTTGCTTTTTCTATTCTGTGGCATTATAAGAGTTAAATTACGTCAGATAGGTGATCTGGCTCTCAAAGAATAAATAATCCCATTGTAAATGGGTAGCATAGCTGTTGCTTATGAATTAATAGCTTTCTGCTTTTGAATATATACACCTGGGATTCCACAAATGCGTCAGCATTAAATTGGTGAGCATACACTTATGCTATAAAAATCAAAGGCTTGTCAATTGCACTTTAAAAAAAGTATACCATATTCTACTGGGAAGCAATTAAAACCTTACCTCTAGGGATCTAACTGTAGCCTGCATCTCAGCCAACTGCCGCACCTGTATTCTTTGGACACTTTCTACCTGAGCACCAGAATTCTCTTTTTCAGCCCTTAATTCTGTTACTTCAGCCTCTAAACCTTTTAATTTCTGACATAAATGGATTTTTTCTCGAACAAGTTGCTCCACTCTTTTGCTGTCTCTTGTGGGGTCAACACTAAGCAGCTGGTTATGTACTTCTTCTTTATCTTTCTCCAGTCTTGCAATCTAATAATAATTTGAAAGAAAAGCATACAACCTTAAATTATTGAATTTTCAGTAAGGAACATGCTTTACAAGTCAGCAAATTAAAATTTAAAATTACACAATATGAAAGCTCAGGTGGTGAAATGGAGTACAAAGGAAAAATATCTAAAATGTCATGTTCTCCATGCTGTACTCAGCTTGACTCAAATGTGAGGGCAAGGACCTTGTCCTAATTTCCCTCTGTCTCCCCATAGTGTCTAACATAGTGCTTAATCAGTTGCTGACTAAATCTCAAAATGATAAATAATAGTATAAAAATAATTATTAAAAATATATCAAGTATTTAAAAATTCATCAGAACATTACAGGGGTTTATGCAAGATCAATACACTAACTAGTGCTAATCTTTTCCTCATGTGACAGTAATTCTTGGACTATGTCTATACTAATAAAATTATCTATTTCAAGGCAACTTAATTCACCCAAAAGCTGCTTGTCTGTGTAAATAAATACAAATGTGATTGATGGAAGTTTTTAAATGATAGCTGAGAGTTTATTAAAGTCCTGTTTGTAATGATGGCCTAGTTCTTAGTTCTTAAGTTCAGGAAAGAACTAAAAATCATTACTCCAGGGCATATTAAAAATTCACTGCGTAACCTGTAGAGCCGACACACCAGTGGTCTTGTCATTCACGACAACCATGACTGTTGGACCCCACGGGCCTCCTAATTAGGGAGTTTCAAACTGCTCCCTAGTCTCTGGGGGCACTTCAGAGGTCCCCCATCTCCACCTGCAGGGATAAGGGGGCCAAGGAATCGGGGCAGAACTTATTCTTTCCCTTTCTTGACCTTCCCAGTTACCTGCCCCCTACCACCACCACCAATCTTTGCAGTTAACCTAGGAAAGCTCCTCTTTTTATATATTAGGTTTCTTCAATTTAAGATTTGAATCACTTAAGGAAAGGATTCAGCTGTTAATAACAAAACCAAAATAAACTCTGCTCTAAAGAGCTGGGTTGTTTGTAGCCAAGACAAGTTTAGAACGTCCACTCTAAGACAAAAGGATCCTAAAGCAATGCTCTGCAACCTAGGCAAAAGTGGCCCAAGAGACAACTGATTGCTTACAGAGCTATCAGGGAATGTAAGAAATATGACACCTCCACCCCAGGGCAAAATCTGTTTTCCTCATCGGTAAAATGAGAGATTGGACTGAAGACCTCATTTCCAGTTTTAACATGTAGTGATTCCAATTTGGTTTTGGACATACTGAATTAAAAACACAAATGGGAAATGTAAGTAGCGCTATCTGGCAGGCAAATTAATATTTTTTCCAGAAAATAAAATTTATCCTAGAAGGCAGATATGGCATTCAAAGTCAGGCCCTTAAAAGCCCAACTAATTAGTGTTTCTCTCCTATCTCTCTTCCCATCCTTTACATATAAACAACCCAGGGTTTGGTCCCTGACTTATTTTTCTTTTTTTTTTTTCTACATTCTTTCCTTCAGCTAGCTGTGTGACTTTGTAAAGTTACCTTTCCACTCTGGCCTCAGTTAAAATGAAAGGCTTGGCTGAATCTAGGACACAAGATCACTTCAGCCAGATACCAACCTAGGAAATGAACTCTCAAGGACAACTCAAAACCAAAAGATTTACAACAGGGAACCAGGGAGGTTAATCTGCAAATGACAACAATGTCAGAACAATAAAAGAGCAAACAAATGGTGTAGGTATAGAACTTTCTAATGGAAAAGCGATACCAAGTAATAATACACTGGTTCAAACTTAGGAAAACATGGGTAAATTTCAAAGTAACCACAAAGAAAGTTAACAAACCTACTCATCAAAATAAAGACGAAAAACAAAGTCTCAGTAAAGACAAAATCTACAAAAACAAAAGAAATGAAAAAAAAATCTACAAACAAAAGGAATTCAGCACAGGAGAGTAAGAGGAACAAAGAAATCGCCAGCACCACAAAAAAAAGCACTACAAAATGACAACAATAAACTCACACATATCAATAATTACACTGAACATAAATGACCTAAATGCACTCTCTATCAGAGAGTGATAGAATGGATTAAAAAACAGGATCCATTAATATGCTGTCTACAACAGACATACCTTAGAAACAAATATATAAATTTATTAAAAATTAAAGGATGGAAAAAAAATATATCAAACAGCCACCAAAAAACAGCAGGAGTGGCAATACTAATCTCAGATAAAATAAACTTTAAACAAAATCTACCATAAAAGACAAATAAGGACACTATATAATGATTAAGGGGACGATCCATCATGAAGACATATGCATAATAAATATATACGCACCCAATGACAGGGCTCCAAAATACATAAAACAAACTTTAACAGCACTGAAAAGAGAAACTGACAGTTCCACTATAACAGCAGGAGACTTCAACACACCACTCTCAGTAAAGAACAGAACATCTAGAAAGAAACTCAGCAAAGATACAGAAGACCTAAAGGGCACAATCAGCCAACTTGACCTCATAGACATATATAGAACACTCCATCCAACAGCTGCAAAGTACACATTCTTTTCCAACGCACGTGGAACATTCTCCAAAACAGACCGCATCTTAGGCCACAAAGCAACCCTCAACAAAATCCAAAACACAGAGATAATACAAAGCATCTTCTCTGATCACAACACCATCAAAGTAGAAATTAACAACAGGAAGAGCAAAGGAAAAAAAATCAATTACATAGAAACTAAATAACACCCTGCTCACAAACCACTGGGTAACAGAAGAAATCAAAGATATAATAAAAAACTCCTAGAATCAAACCAGAATAAAAATACATAATACCAAAACCTTTGGGACACAGCAAAGGCAGTCCTCACAGGTCAATTTATAGCAATAGATGCACGCATCAGAAAAGAAGAAAGGGATAAAATCAAAACATTAACTACAGAACTCGAACAAATAGAGAACAGCAAAAGAAGCCTACAGCCACCAGAAGTAAGGAAATAATAAAGATCAGAGCAGAAATAAATGAAATAGAAAATAGAAAAACAATAGAATAGACAAAACCAAAAGTTGGTTCTTTGAAAGGATCAATAAAAGTGACAAATCACTAGCCAAACTGACAAAAGAACAACAGGAAAAGATGCAAATAACCCAAATAAGAAATGAAATGGGGGACATTACAACAGACCCAACTGAAATAAAAAGGATCACAACAGAGTATTATGAAAAACTATACTCCAACAAATTTGAAAAACTACAGGAAATGGACAAATTTCTAGAAACACACTACCTACTCAAACTATCACAAATTGATGTTGAAAATCTGAACAGACCCATAACAAGAAAAGAGATTGAAAAGGTAATTTAAAAAACTCCCCCCCAAAAAAAGCCCTGGCCCAGAGAGCTTCACTGGAGAATTCTACCAAACATTCAGAGAAGAGGTCCCAAATTCATTCTATGAAGCCAAGCATAACCCTGATAGCAAAACCAGGCAAAGATACCACAAAAAAAGAAAATTACAGACCAATATCTCTCATGAATACAAATGCAAAACTTCTCAACAAAATTCTAGCCAGTAGAATTCAGTATCATGTCAAAAAAATAATACATCACGACAAAGTAGGATTCATACTAGGTATGCAAGGATGGTTCAACATTAGAAAATCAATCAACGTAATCTACCACATAAATACAATAAAAGAAATCACATGACCATCCCAATCGATGCAGAAAAGGCATTTGACAAAGTCCAACACCCATTCCTCATTAAAACTCTCAATAAAATAGGTATAGAAGAGAAATTCCTCAACATAATAAAGGGCATCTATACAAAGCCAACAGCCAACATCATTCTTAATGGACAGAGGCTGAAAACATTCCCCTTGAGAACAGGAACAAGACAAGGATGCCCTTTATCACCACTCCTATTTAACATTGTGCTGGAAGTCCTAGCTAGAGCAATAAGGCAAGAAAAAGAAATAAAGGGCATCCGAATTGGTAATGAAGAAGTAAAACTGTCCCTATCTGCAGATGATATACTATATATAGTAAGCCCGAAAGACTCCACGAGAAAACTACTGGAACTATTCAGCAGAGTAGCAGGATATGAGATAAACATATGAAAATCTGTTGCATTCCTATACACCAATAAAGAGAACAATGAAAAGGAAATCAGAAAAACAATACCATTTATAACAGCCCCTAAAAAAATGAAATACTTAGAAATAAATCTAACCAGGGATGTAAAAGACCCATACAAAGAAAACTAGAAAACACTACTGCAAGAAACAAAAAGAGATCTACATAAATGGAAAAACATACCATGCTCATGCATAGGTAGACTCAACATTGTGAAAATAACAATACTACAAAGTAATCTATAAATACAATGCAATCCTGATCTAAATACCAACAACATTCTTTAAAGAGATGGAAAACAATGATTAATTTTACATGGAAAGGGAAGAGGCCTCAGATAAGTAAAGCACGATTGAAGAAGAATAATAACGTAGGAGGACTCGCACTACCTGACCTACTATACAGCTACAGTAGTCAAAACAGCCTGGTACTGGTACAACAACAGATACATTGACCAATGGAACAGAATCGAGAACTCAGATGTAAATCCATTCACCTGTGGTCACCTGATCTTCAACAAGGGCCCAAAGTCCATCAAATGGAGAAAAGACAGTCTTTTTAACAAATAGTGCTGGCAAAACTGGATGTCTATCTGCAAAAAAATGTAACAGGACCCATACCTCACACCATATACAAAAACTAATTCAAAATGGATCAAAGACCTAAATATAAAGCCAAAAACTATAAAGATCATAGAAGAAAAACCAGGATCAACGCTAGAGACCCTGATACATGGCATTAACAGGATACAAACCATAACTAACAACATACAAACTCCAGAGGATAAGCTAGATAACTGGGATCTTCTAAAAATTAAACACTTATGCTCATCAAAAGACTTCACCGAAAGAGTAAAAAGAGCACCTACAGACTGGGAAAACATTTTTG